TGAGCACCACTGGAGGCTCCCACCATTGGCTGTGTGGCGGGTAGCACCACTCTCCAGCCTCCTCCATGGGACTGTGACACCAGGAACTCCTCACATTCTGATACAAAAACCTGAGAAGGCAAAATCCCGCCACAAGGACCCCACTCCCGCCCTACAGAAGCAGCCAGAAGCCCTGGGGCGGACCATCACTTCCCAGACCCACCAGAGGACCCACCTGGGGGGAACGAAGCTATCAGAACTACTGGGAAGAGAATTTTACATCCCAGGGCTCCAGAAAATATCCCAAGACTTGGCTAGAAGGTGCCCAGTGTGTGCCCAGGTGAACCAAGGGCCCCTGTGGTGGCCGCGCCGGGTTAGCGATTCCGAGGTCAGAACCCCAGAGAACACTGGGAAGCGGACTTCACCGAGATACCAGGAGGACAAGGAGGGTATAAATATTTGCTGGTTTTCATTGACACCTTCTCTGGCTGGCCTGAGGCATACCCAACCAAAGCAGAGACAGCACAGATAGTAGTTAGGAAACTCCTCACTGAAATTGGCCCCCCCCCCCATGGGTTCCGACAATGGCCCAGCGTTTATTGCCAAAATTACACAATCCATAGCTAAGGCCCTGAGGGTTACCTGGAAATTGCATTGTGTTTATAGACCACAGAGTTCTGGACAGGTAGAGAGAATGAATCTGACCTTAAAGGAAACCTTAACCAAGTTAAAACTAGAGAATGGCGAAAATTGGGTAAGTCTCCTTCCTTTTGCTCTCCTCAGAGCTAGGTGCACCCCGTATATAAAAGGACTCACCCCTTTTGAAATTATGTTTTGCAGGCCGCCACCTCTCCTTCCCCGCCTAAGAGAGAAAGATCTTGCCCGGCTGTCTACCTGAAATTTGCTTAAGTCCTTACAGGCTTTGCAGAGCAGCGCCACATCAGCACAACGGGTGGTGAGGGCACCTTACGAGAGGAGGACGTGCCGAGATCCAGTCCAACGCAGCCTGCCTTCTCTCCAGGTGATCTCCTCTGGGTGAAGTGCCACGACCCTGGCAGCCTGGAACCTAGATAGGATGGACCCCACCAGGTGGTGCTGAGCACTCCAACCACCATCAAAGTCGCAGGAAAGAGGCACTGTTAAGCTAAGAAGGTGAATGACAGCGTCGAGGGTTGGCGGGTCCAGAAGACCGGAGACCCATTAAAGGTCAGACTCACTCGGTGTTCCTCCTGACTCTCCTCGTCTGTCTGCAGCCGTGACAGGGAAATCCCCATCTGGCCAAAAATTACTCTTGGGAGGTCACACGCACTATTGTTGGGACTGTTATAGGCTCCGTTGTCGCGGTAGGGGCGCCCGTCATCTGGACAGATCTCTGTAAACTGTTTGGAAAAAACTGGGGAAATTCCCGTAGCAAAACTGCGTCGGTCGGGTATGGCTCGGGGGGCCATACCCAGGCCGCTGGAACCAGGGGTTACGGGTGCAGAATGCTCGGGCTAGAGCAAGGGTTATGGCACACTCAACATTATGCTTGCCCCCGAGAGGGGGTAGTAACTATGGAGGAGAAAGCAACTTCTACTGTGCCTCTTGGGGTTGTGAGACCCTAGCCCTATGGAAAAAAAAAAAAACCACCGACAAGTTCCTCCTTCTGACCAGAGGTTCGACCTGGGGACCCAAAGAAGAACTGCACTGCCAGAAATTGTAACCCCGTCCTCCTCAGGCCTCTCACCTGGTGGACTGACCAATGGGAAGGGGGGAAAGACATCGGGACTAAGACTCTATGTCAGCGGCCGAGACCCTGGCCAATTCTTCACCATCCAACGCAGGACTCTTCCCCGGCGGCTCAACCCGATTGGCCCCTTGTGCCCCCTAGACAAGCCAGGGAGGCCGAGCCTGCCACAACACCCAGCCCCAGCCAAACCTCTGCTGGGCCCACATACTTAGTAGCACCGGAGGGAACTTGGTGGGCACGTACAACTGGTGTAATCCCTTGCATCTTCCCTCCAGTCCTCCAGAACCCGACGGACCCTGGACTATGCATCCTGACGAATATACTCCCTCAGGTGTGCTACTATTCAAGAGAGGGGGTCGAGAACATTTAAACTTAGAACCCAGGAGGGATAAAAGGGCCCCCATCCTAGTCCCCCTCCTTATGGGACTAGGACTAGCATGATCCATGGCCGTTGGAACAGCCGCCCTAGTAACCAGCCATGAAAATTATAGAGTTCAGGAGGCAGACAGATCAAGACTTAAGAACTCTGGAAAAATCCCTTGGCCAACTGGAGGACTCCCTCAGTTCACTTGCAGAGGTAGTGTTACAAAACAGACGAGGTCTAGATCTGCTTTTCCTAAAGCAGGGAGGCTTCTGTCTGGCCCTAGGGGAGACCTGCTGTTTCTACACCAACCACTCGGGGGTGATCAGGGAAAGCCTTAGCCAGCTGCGAAAACGGCTGGCTGACCGAGAAGAGGCTAGAAAGGCCAAGGGCAATTGGTAGGAGAATTTACTTTCCTGGTCCCCCTGGCTAACTACCCTGCGCTCCTCCTTGGCAGGACTAGTCATTCTGCTCCTCCTAGGGCTACTATTTGGCCCCTGCATCGCCAAATGCCTCCTCAATTTCGTACAAAATCAAATACAAGCTGTAAAGTTGATGGTTTTACACACTCAATACTCCAGGATCGTAGAGGAGGGCGCTGAATCAAAGATTTGATTCAGGCATAAGACCAATAGGGAATGTGCTAGGGGGAGGGACCGTGGCATGGAAAGATTACTGAATGTGCTGGGGGCAAGGACCCTGGCATGGAAAGGTTACTGAATGTGCTGGGGGCAAGGACCCTGGCATGGAAAGATTACTGAATGTGCTGGGGGCAGGGATCCTGGCATGGAAAGGTTACTGAATGTGCTGGGGGCAAGGACCCTGGCATGGAAAGATTACTGAATGTGTTGGGGGCAGGGACTGTGGCATAGAAAAATTACTGATTGCTTTAAAGAAACAGTGATATGATAGAACCCAGCCAGGTGTGACCCCGTTTTCCTCCCGAACTTTTTACCCTGCCAGTTAACGCTTTGTAGTTTTTGCAAATAAAAGCTTTGATGCACCCTCGGTCGGTACTGCTGTTGTGCGGCTCCCTGTGTGGAGGTATGTGCTGTAGTCGCGGGCCACCTTAATAAAGGCTCTTAAATTTAAATTCTGAGTCGGTGGTCTATCTCGCTGATTGAACCCATAACATTGGAAAGAGTCCAAGTACCCATCAGTAGATGAGTGGATAAAAAACTGTGGTACATTGATACCATAAAATACCATGCAGCAGTAAAAATGAAGACTCTCTTACCCTTTCACACAGCATGGGGGGAACCTGGAGAGCATCATGCTAAGTGAAATAAGTCAGTCAGAGAAAGACAAGTACCACTTGATCGCACTCATATATAGAGTCTAATGAACAAAACTGATGAATGGAGTGCATTCAGAGACACGGAAGCATAGAAATTACTGCAGAATCTCAGAGGGAATGTGTGTGTGTGGGGTGGGGGGAAGAGGATGGGGGAGGGAGGTAAAAAGAAACATCCTGCGGTAAACATTAAAGAACATGCACACAGACAATAAAAACAAAGTCACCTGAACTTTGAGCATCTTCTTTTATGTTTCTTTCTCCCTTTTACGTTTATTTCATCAGCAACATTCACTCTTGCCCTCAACAGAAACAATTAGATTATGACTTGTCTCCCATCAACTAAGCATTTGTATGAATAGCCAAAGATTTCTTCTCAACACTGTTTTTAGACAACAAGCTATAAATATGAAGCTTTCAAGGCTCCTCGATCCAAGTTAAACACTTCCAGTTCTCAGAGCTCAGGGTCAGGCAGGCAGCCCTACTGCCCCAGGAGGGGCCTGTGCTCAGAGCAAGGGTCCCTCCCGGAGCTGCTCCTTCCTCTCAGCACAGGATGGGTCTGGGCGGGGCCACCTGAGGAGCCTTGTCCTTGGCATTGGATAGGAGTCTGTAGGCAGGAGGACACTTCCTCTTAGAGCAGGTGGCCTGAGTAGGCCGTGCCAGGCAGGAGACCCAGGGGCTGCGGGGGGACCTGCCTGAACACACCTCCTCTGGGCACTTCAGCCTGGGCGCCGGCCTGGACAGCAATGCTTTCCAGACGCGGCAAAGGAACCCAGGAGGGACCATGTTAACGTAGAAATGAACACAGGCCGTGGTTGAAACATTCCCCCGGCGTGTAAGTTTAGATGAAGACCATTCCATCTAATGGGCTGCAGTCTGGTCCAACAAGAATTAGGTCAGTGTTTCTGCAGTGAAAGGGTCCCCTCACTGCCATGGTCCTCCAACCAGTGCCCATCACCCATGGAATTGAAGGCATTAAAGCACATGGCCCTCTGCAACACCTGGGGAAAAGAATCCCTTCAGCCGAGACCGGTTTGGCTCAGTGGATAGAGCGTCGGCCTGCGGACTGAAAGGTCCCAGGTTCGATTCCGGTCAGGGGCACATACCTGGGTTGCGGGCACATCCCCAGTGGGGGATTTGCAGGAGGCAGCTGATCGATGTTACTCTCTCATTGATGTTTCTCACTCTCTATCTCTCTCCCTTCCTCTCTGTAGGAAATCAATACAATATATTAAAAAAAAATCCCTTCAAATGTCTTACCAGTCCTTGAAAAAAGGAAAAAAAAATAACGCAGCTCCCAGATATACTTCAGGTTGTCACAACTACCCCCTCTTGGGAGTGACCTTTGTGTCTCAATGCATCCATTTTCACATGAGGACTAGAGAGTCAACAGTGTTTCCTGGGAAAATATGGGCAGCAATGTAAATTTGGCAAAAACTGCTCAGCTAATTTCTGGTCCATAGTCTTCCCCAAGGGCAAAAATGTTTCAGAGCCCATATAAGTTTTTCACCGCCCGAATCATGCTTGGAGAGCCCAGATCTCCATATAAACTAACCCGTAAATGGAACACCCAACATTAAAGAAGTCTTATGCAAAAGCCATCATTATTTTGCAAGTAACAGCTGTGAGACTGGTAGTTCTTCCACCTGGCAAGACAGCTCTTTATGTTAAAAATTCGAACATACATACGTATGGTTCCAACATACAAACAAGCAAACAGAAGAGCAAAAATAGTTGCGGGTAGGATACACAATGTACATGATTCAATGTATGAGATAAATTTCAGACTAATGAGACTTCACATATTTTCATATACAACTGTTAAGTACTAACTAAGAAACCACATTTTCAACACATCTGAGAAATTTTTCACATTCGGACTCCTTTGTGCACAGCAAATTTACAAATTAGGCTGAGAGATAGCTCACATTAATTACACTCTTTACAAATATCTCCTGTGTAAACTCTCTGATGACAATGAAGGTGAGAGTTAGTTGTAAAAGATTGTCCACATTCACTGCATTTATAAGCATTTTCTCCTGTATGAACTCTCTGATGATGGTGAAGGTTGGTGCTACTGGTATAAAATTTCCCACAGTCACTGCATTTATAAGGCTTTTGTCTTGTATGACTTCTCTGATGACGGCAATGGACATCGCTTTTCTCCAGTGTGAACTCTCTGGTGATTTTGGAGAGCTCTGTTTTCACTGAAAGTTTTCCCACATTCACTACATTTATAAGGCTTTTCTCCTGAATGAACTCTCTGATGACGACAAAGTTTACTGTTACAGGTAAAAGATTTCCCACAGTCACTGCATTTATAAGGCATTTCTCCTCTATGAACACTCTGATGATTTTGGAGAGCTTCGTTTTCAGTAAAAGTTTTCCCACAGTCACTGCATTTATAAGGCTTCTGTCCTGCATGATTTCTCTGATGACGGCGATGGACATCGCTCCTGGTAAAAGATTTCCCACATTCACTGCATTTAAAAGGCTTTTCTCCAGTGTGGACTCTCTGATGATTTTGGAGAGCTTTGTTTTCACGGAAAGTTTTCCCACATTCACTACATTTATAAGGCTTTTCTCCTGTATGAACTCTCTGATGATGACAAAGTTTACTGTTACTGGTAAAAGATTTCCCACATTCACTGCATTGATAAGGCTTTTCTCCAGTGTGAACTCTCTGATGATGACAAAGTTTTTTGTTACTGGTAAAAGATTTCCCACATTCACTGCATTTATAAGGCTGTTTTCCAGTGTGAATTCTCTGATGTCTGTGAAGTTTGAAATTAGTGGTAAAAGATTTCCCACATTCATTGCATTTATAAGGCATTTCTCCTATGTGAACTTTCTGATGAATGTGAAGGTAAGAGTTAGTCGTAAAAGATTTCCCACATTCATTACATTTATAAGGCTTTTCTCTTGTGTGAACCCTCTGATGAACGTGAAGGTAAGACTTAGTGGTAAAAGATTTCCCACATACACTGCATTTATAAGGCTTTTCTCCAGTGTGAACTCTCTGATGTGTGTGAAGTTTGAAATTAGTGATAAAAGATTTCCCACATTCATTGCATTTATAAGGCTTTTCTCCTGTGTGAACTCTCTGATGAATGTGAAGGTAAGACTTAGTGGTAAAAGAATTCCCACATTCATTGCATTTATAAGGCTTTTCTCTTGTGTGAACCCTCCGATGAACGTGAAGGTAAGACTTAGTGGAAAAAGATTTCCCACATTCACTGCATTTAAAAGGCTTTTCTCCAGTGTGAACTCTCTGATGTGTGTGAAGTTTGAAATTAGTGATAAAAGATTTCCCACATTCATTGCATTTATAAGGCTTTTCTCCTGTGTGAACCCTCCGATGACTGTGAAGTTGACAGTTAGTGGTAAAAGATTTCCCACATTCACTGCATTTAAAAGGCTTTTCTCCAGTGTGAACTCTCAGATGATTTTGGAGAGCTCCGCTTTGGATGAAAGTCATCCCATATTCACTGCATTTATGAGGCTTTTCTCCTCTATGAATTCTCCGATGCTGACAAAGTGCACTTTGCCTGGTATAAGATTTCCCACATTCACTGCAGGGAAAAGGCCTTTCTCCAGTGTGCACTCTTTGATGACGACAAAGTTTAATGAAACAGTTGTAATCTTTCCCACATTCAACACATATATAAGGCTTTTCTTCAGTGTGAATGCTCTGGTGAGAAAGAAGGCTACCGCTCTGGGCAAAAGATTTCCCACATTCACTGCATTTATAAGGCTTTTCTCCTGTGTGAACCCTCTGATGACTGTGAAGGTGAGACAAAGTGATAAAAGATTTCCCACATTCACTGCAGTGATGAGGCCTTTCTCCAGAGTGCACTCTGTAATGATGATATTTGCGACCATTGAAAGTTGAAAAAGACTTTCCACACTCACTACACTTATAAGGCTTTTCTCCAGTGTGAATTCTCCGATGACAATGAAGGTTACTGCTACTAGTAAAAGATTTCCCACACTCATTGCACTCATAAAGCCTTTCTGCAGTGAGAAGGCTCTGATCATAATGGAGGGCAGTGCTATTGGTAACAGGATTTCCACATTCACTGCGCGCATAGGGCCTTTCTTCAGTGTGCAAAGCTTCATATTCACTTAGGCTGTTACTATTGCTAAAAGCTTTCCCATATTCACTGCACTGATAAGGCCTTTCTCCAGTGTGACCTTGCTGTAGAAGAGAAAAGCTAGAAAATTTGGTAAAATATTTCCCACATTCAGAGCACACAAAACATCGACTTCCAACATTGACATCCTTTTCCTGAATAAACGTGTGGGTACAAGTAATGTCTTTCTTAGATTCTTTTCGGGCGTAATAATTTTTTGTCCTTTGAAATGTCATCCCATGTGTCGAAATAGCATTTGGACTGTCCCTGGTCTGAGTAGCGTTTAGGTGGAGATGTCCTGATTCGGTAAGAACACCCTGCCCAACCTCCCCGCAGTTGAACCAATTTTGGGACCCATTGAAATTGTAACTGTTTACAAGGGAGCTCCTGTCCACACCTCTAATGAAAGTCTTCTCTCTCACATGCCATTGGTGAATATTTACACTGAAGTAAAACCGTTTTGCACATGCCCCACACCTCAACATTATCTGTCCGTGTTGTGTTCCCTGCAGCTCCATCACGTGGAAAATGTTTCCCAAGACTAGTCCACAACTCTCACAGGGGTGGCTCTTCTGGGAAGACAAAGGTAACTGGGGATTCCATGCCTGTGAAACTCTCAAAAAAAAGTTCTGTTCAGTCGCTGCCTCCTCATTCTCTGCTCCACAGCAGCAACCTGAACAAAAGGAAACACTGGTAAAGTATATGTTCACCCTATGAAATCAGAATATCTGCACCACAAATGTTTATCTGTCATGACTAGGCATGATGCCATAGAAAGATTTTAAGGACCAGTGAGGTATCCTCTGAGGAAAGTGCTGTTATGCATATCGTGGCCCCAAAACTCAGTTGATGATAAAAAGCAAACCAAGAGAGGGACAGAAGCACAGGATGGGACACAAAGAAGAGAGGAAGGCTCTACTCATTTTTCCTGCACAAACGGCTGCCATTAGGACCTCACATGTTGGCCATGGGAGTCTATGTAGAATCATTTAAGACGGCTCAAAGCCATAAAAATGTATTGTATTAAACCACATGATGTTCACCATCAATATAATAACATGTGTGCACTCCAAGGTACTGCAGGCATGGACCAATGTTTGAGGGCATTAAAGAGAGGCCTGTGAGGCCGGTGGCGGCGGCCCCGGCGGCTGGAGAGCCCCGGGCGGCAGCTGCGCCTGAAGTTGCAGCCGGGCCCGCGGGGGTGCTGCACAGGGGTCGGGGGGGGGGGGGGCAGCCCTGAGCTGGGGCCTGGCCCAGGCTGGGCTCCCCCGCTGCACTCCGGGGCACAGGTCTTGCCTGTGGTGACCACAATGCCCCAGGCCTCTGAGCACCGCCTGGGCCGGCCTCGAGAGCCACCTGTCAATGTCCAGCCCTGAGTGGGATCCAAACTACCATTTGCCCCCCGGGCTTGCAGTAAGGAGCGTCTAAACCCAGCCCCTGGGCCAAACCCCATGTTACGGCCTCTGCCTCCCCGGCCAGGTCCACCTGAGGAACGGCTCAAGAAACTGGAGCTGGGACAAACACGGACCTCAGGCCCTCGTCCCAGAGGCCCCCTTCGGGCAGATCATGGAGTTCCCCTGCCTGGCTCACCACCCCCAGCTGTGGCTCTGCCTCTCCCAACCAGAACCAACCTAGCCAGGTCCAAGTCTGTGAGCAGTGGGGACTTGCGTCCAACAGGGATTGCCTTGGGAGGGCATCGAGGTGCTGGAGAGCTAGGGGTTGCACTGAGCCGCTTGGCGCTCCGGCCTGAGCCACCCACTTTGAGACGTAGCACCTCTCTCCGCCGCCTAGGGGGCTTTCCTGGGCCCCCCACCTTGCTCAGTATACGGACAGAGCCCCCTACTTCCCATGGCACTTTCTGCGTGATATCTGCCCGGCCCTCCAAGCCTTTGTACTTCGATGACAAGATGTGCTTCCTGAATGCTGTGCTGCAGTGTTTGAGCAACATTCAGCCTCTCCAGGACTTCTGCCTGCGAAGGGACTTCTGGCAAGAAGTGCCTGGAGGGGGCCGAGCCCAAGAGCTCACTGAAGCCTTTGCAGACGTGATTGGTGCCCTGTGGCACCCTGACTCTTGTGAAGCTGTAAATCCTACTTGGTTCCGAGATGTCTTCCAGAAATACGTGCCCTCCTTCTCCGGATACAGCCAGCAGTATGCCCAGGAGTTCCTGAAGCTCCTCATGGAGGGGCTACACCTTGAAATCAACCGACGAGGCCGCCGGGCTCCCCCAATCCTGGCCAGTAGCCCAGCTCCCTCTCCACCCCACCGTGGAGGGGCTCTGCTAGAAGAGCCGGACTTAAGTGACAATGACCGAGCCAACCTAATGTGGAAGCGTTACCTGGAGCGAGAGGACAGCAAGATTGTGGACCTGTTTGTGGGCCAGTTGAAAAGTTGTCTCAAGTGCCAGGCCTGTGGGTATCGCTCCACGACCTTCGAGGTTTTTTGTGACCTGTCCCTGCCCATCCCTAAGAAAGGATTTGCTGGGGGCAAAGTGTCTCTGCGGGACTGCTTCAGCCTTTTCACCAAGGAAGAAGAGCTAGAGTCGGAAAATACCCCAGTGTGTGACCGATGTCAGCAGAGAACATGAAGTACCAAAAAGTTGACAGTACAAAGATTCCCCCGAATCCTCGTACTCCATCTGAATCGGTTTTCCGCCTCCCGAGGCTCCATCAAGAAAAGCTCCGTAGGTGTGGACTTCCCGCTGCAGGGCCTGAGCCTGGGGGACTTTGCCAGCGACAAAGCCGGAAGCCCTGTCTACCAGCTGTACGCCCTCTGCAACCACTCGGGCAGCATCCACTATGGCCACTACACCGTCCTGTGCCGCTGCCAGACCGGCTGGCACGTCTACAATGACGATCGGGTCTCCCCGGTCAGTGAGAACCAGGTGGCGTCCAGCGAGGGCTACGTGCTCTTCTACCAGCTAACGCAGGAGTGCCCCGCTGCCTGTGAAACCCTGCCCCCCGCCCCCCAAGCCTGGGCTCCCCGTTTACCTCAGAGACGTCTATTTTTGTGTCTTTTTCATTGGGGAGGCGGAGGGTGATTGTAGCTCCCATTTTTTAAATTAAAAAGTACCCTTCCACCTGGAGGTCCCCCTGTGCCCCAGCCCCATGTACAGAGCTCCCCAGGCCCCGCCCGTGTACGGCCCCGGACTTCAATCTCACTTTTTGTGAATAAACTTATTAAGAAAAAAAAAAAAAGGAGAGGCCTGTGAAAGAGGCACAGGTGCAAAGTCAAGAGAAGTGAAGGTTATCCATGGGCTGGGAATCCCAGTAGAAATGATCACTATGAAAACTGAGTGCTGATAGAACCAAGATGGCGGAATAGGTAAACACCAGAAATTGCTGCCATGCACAACCACTTCAACAATACAAGTAAAAGACAAAACAGACATCATCCAGAACCACAGGAAGACTGGCTAAGTGGAAATTCTACAACTAGAAGGAAAGAGAAAAGCATACTGAGACTCAGAGGAGGTGCGGAAGTGGAGTGCAGAGGTATGGAGGCGCACGCGGAAATCGCTGGCAACTGAGCATGTGGCGCACTTGAAAAGGGCTAGCAATTGAGGACGTGGCCCAAGTGGAAAGGGCTGGCAAATGAGGTCATGGTTGTCTTTTTCAATCGGGAGGGAGTCTCAAGCTCCCTACTGGTCTGAACTCCAGCTCCGAGCGAGTCTCTGGAGACCCAGACTCATTTGGGGAGAACCTGGACTGTCTGGCATCGGTTGGAACTCAAGGGTGGCTTTAACTCAGCGGTACTTGCGGAGATTACCGGGACACTCAGTCGCTGGGCCTCTTAGGGTAAGACTGAGGAGCAGCCATAGCTGCTAGCTCCACCCAGTTGATCCCCTGAGACCCCGCCCCACCCAACCTGTGCCCAGAGGCTTTTCCATATCAAAGACCTGGCCCTTTGCAATCTGGTAATTACCTAGCAAACTGCAGCTGGTAAGAGAGACCAAGAACTTCCAAAAGAAGGCCCAAGGTCCCACAGCACCTTGCATTGCTTCACAGCTGGGCCACTTCTGGGCACCTCCAAACCACAAACAAAGAAGAAGAATCTGCAGATCTCTCTGTAGCTCCTGCTGAGTAGCCTCAGGCAGAGGCTAAATTAGCACCTCCTTAGAGATCCAAGAGCCAGTGTACCCAGTGGTCAGAGTGGGACCATCCAGATTACAACTCCTCAGATCCATAAGGTACACACTCAGTGGGCAGAGTCAGTGAGCACCAAAGCCCCACTGAAGCAAGTCTTGCCCCAGAAGGGTGTCTCAAGCACAGAAGTTCTCCCACTGCAGACACAGTTGATTCTCACAGCCAATGGTCCTGGAGGTCAATTCTTCCCAGTGATAACAACTACAATCAAGGCTTAACTACAACAAGGCTGTGCACAAAGCCCACAAAGGGGTGCTCCAAGAGTAATAGGGGAGGGTGAGCCACTGGGCCCTATAGTACACCTAACACAGAAAGCCACTCTATCAACACAAGGAAGCATAAAAAATGCGGAGCCAAGAAAAAGGTAACATATGAAAGAAATAGAGGAAAGCAAACTACTGGATATAGAGTTCAAAACCACACTTTTAAAGGTTTTTCAAGAATTTTCTAGAAACCGCCGATAAATTTAGTGAGACCCTCAAGAAATCTAATGGGGCCGAAACCGGTTTGGTTCAGTGGATAGAGCATCAGCCTGCAAACTGAGAGGTCCCGGGTTCGATTCCGGTCAAGGGCATGTACCTGGGTTGCGGGCACATCCCCAGTGGGGGATGTGCAAGAGGCAGCTGATCGATGTTTCTCTCTCATCAATGTTTCTAACTTTCTCTATCTCTCTCCCTTCCTCTCTGTGAAAAATCAATAATATATATTAAAAAAAAAAAAAAGAAATCTAATGGGACCCTCAAGATTAAGAAAAAGTACAAAAAAGAAATTAAGCATACACTGACTGAAATAAAGAATATTACGAAGACTTCCAACAGCAGACTAGAGGATCGCATGAATAAAGTCAAAGATTTGAAATACGAAGAAGCAAAAATCACCCAACCCGAAAAACAAAAAGAAAAAAGAATGCAAAAATATGAAGATAGTGTAAGGAGCCTCTGAGATAACTTCAAACGTACCAAAATCCAAATTATGGGGTGCCAGAAGAGAGCCAGCAAGATATTGAAAACCTATTTGAAGAAATACTAACAGAAAACTTCCCCTACCTGGTCAAAGTAATAGAATTCCAAGTCCAGGAAGCGCAGAGACCCCAAACAAAAGGAATCCAAAGAGGACCACACCAAGACATATCATCATTAACACATTGTTTGGAGGTAGTTTTTATCGTCTGCGCTCTACTACCAGTCAACTTAAATGTATAACTAAAACGTATAAATACGTTTCCCGCTTTCAATGCGTTAAAATGCCAAGAGCAAAAGACAGAGAGAGAATCTTAAAAGCAGCAAGAGAAAGAAACTCAGTTACCTACAAGGGAGTACCCATACCAACTGTCAGCTGATTCTTTAACAGAAACTATGCAGACAGAAGAAATTATGCAGGCCAGAAGGGAGTGGCAAGAAATATTCAAAGGGATGAATGGGAAGAACCTACAACCTAGATTACTTTACCCAGCAAAGCTATCATTAGGAATTGAAGGTCAGATAAAGAACTTCAAAGATAAGAAAAAGCTAAAGGAGTTCATCACCACCAAACTAAAATTATATGAAATGCTGAAAGGTATCCTTTAAGAAGAGGAAGAAGAAGAAAAAGGTAAAGATACAAATTATGAACAACAAATACACAGCTACCAACAAGTGACTCTAAAAATCAAGTGAATAAATTATCTGATGAACAGAATAAACTGGTGAATATAATAGATTCAGGGGCATAGAAAAGGCCTGGACTGACTATTCTTGGGGAGGAAAAGGGTCTGGGGGTGTGGGAAGAGACTGGACAAAAATTGTACACCTATGCATGAGAACAGTGGGTGGCAGAGGTAAGGGGAGAAGGTGGGGTGGGAACAGGGTGGAGGGGAGTTATGGGGGGAAAAAAGAGGAACAAATGTAATAATCTGAACAATAAAGATTTAATTAAAAAATTAATAAAAGTTGCCAAAAACTTAAAAAACATAAATATTTAAATAAAAAACCCCTGTGCTGGACCTATTTATCCTTCCCTCTGTACTCCAAGCCTGTGGCAGCTACTAAGCTTTTTACTCTCTGTATAGTTTTCCCTTTTCCAGAATGTAATGTAGTTGGAATCATACAGTATATACCCTTTTCAGACTGGCTCTTTTTACTAAGCGATATATATTTAAGTTTCTTCCATTCGTTTCTTGGCTCAAGGGGTCATTATCAATGTGGGGAGGTCTTGCTTCTTGGTATTCCCATTCCTAGTTTGATTTTCTCTATTTTCTCTTTTTATTGCTGAATATTTCATTGTACAGATGCACCACAGTTTGTGTATGCACTCACCTTTTAGGAGACATTTTGGTTGCTAACAGTTTTTTGAAATTAGCAATAAAGCTGCTATAAACATTTAAAAAAAAAAAGAAAGAAAGAAAACGCTGGGTTTCCAGCTATGAATGTAATAAAGGCCAGCAAAGAATTCCTCCCCAGTGACCCTTCTCCAAGGCAAGACCACCTGTGACACCACTGTGTCATTAATAAAGCACTGTTTCACCCAACCCGGTTTGCACCAATGGAGATAACGTCGGCCTGTGGACTGAAGGGTCCCAGGTTCAATTCCAGTCAAGGGCATGTATCTTGGTTGTAGGCACATTCCCAGTAGGGGTTGTGCAGGAGGGAGCTGATGGATGTTTCTCTCTCATTGATGTTTCTAACTCCCTATCCCTCTCCCTTCCTCTCTGTTAAAAAATCAATAAAATACATTTAAAAAAAAATAAATAAAATCATGTTTCTTCTGTGATGCACAAAGGATTCTTCCCCTTAAATCCCACTTGACCCATTCCATGGGATAAATGATGCAAATCTTCAGAGAAAAAGAAAAAAAGTGGATGATCAACACTGTGGTAGAACAACAAAGGACAAATGAGACAACAGACAAACGACCTATGTGAGCCCTTGCTGGCTTGGCTAGTGGATGGAGCTTCTCCCTGTGGACTGAAGGGTCCTAGGTACAATTCTGGCCAGGGCATGTGCCCGGGGTTGCAGGCTTCATCCCCAGGAGGTGGTGTGTAGGAGGCAGCTGATGGATGATTCTCTCTCATCATTGATGTTTCTAAATCTCCATTCGTCCCTGAAATCACTAAGAATATATTTTTTTAAAAACCCACCTATGTGAGTGACATCAGAAAGAATGCAGAATCAGAGATATGAGCATCTCCCCTGACCCCAGTGTAAGTAGACAGCTACTCACAAACAAAAAACCCGTATGAAATAGGAGTAAGAGTAACATGAAGACAGTATAACAGACACAAATAAAGAAGAAGTGTGCAGAAAGAATGACTAGAAAAGACTGGGTGAATAAACATATTTGCAAATACGCACAGTAAAAACCAAGGGTCAGAATTACCTCCAGCAGCCCCTGTGCTTTTGCTATCATTGACCAAAGTGGCCTGTTCTTAAAAAAACACTAGAAATTTTTGTTTAAAAACCACAGAATGCCTTGGCCAGTATGGCTCAGGTGGTTGGAGCATCATGCTGTGTACCAAAGCGTCGAGTATTCAATTCCCAGTCAAGGCACATATCAGTATATGGGTTCCATTTCCAGTTACCTTGTGTGCAGAAGTCAGTCGATGGATATTTCTCCCTCACACGGATCTTTCTCTCTCCCCATCCCATCTCTCTTCCTCAGCCATCTCTCTTCCTCAATATTTGAACAAGCATCAGTAAAAGGGAGATAAGACGGCAAAATAAAACAATACAAATATTGTCTACCCTTGAGTTAGACTAAAGCAAAGAACAAAAACCAACCAAACAACAACAAGCTTCAGGAGGGTAGGGGAGGCTGGGGAAAGGTCAATTGGGGAAGAAAAGAAAAATGTTCAAAGAAATGAAAGGTAAGACATTATACCTGACACTAGGAACCACAAAGCATCATAAGAGATGTTGAGCCCTAACGGGTTTGGCTCAGTGGATAGAGCGTCGGCCTGCAGACTGAAGGGTCCCAGGTTTTATTCCCGTCAAGGGCATATACCTTAGTTGTGGGCACATCCCCAGTAGAGGTGTGCAGGAGGCAGTTGATCCATGTTCTCTCTCATTGATTTTTCAAACTCTCTAGCCCTCTCCCTTCCTTTATGTAAAATATCAATAAAATATACTTTTACTTAAAAAAAAAGATGTTGATGTTAAGAGACAACATGACCTTCCACAGAGAAATCTGTCAAGATCCCATATGAGCTTCTGAAATTAATAAACAAATTCAGGAAGCCAGGAAAACTAAGATGGCGGCATAGGTAAACACCGGGAAATTGTCGCCTCACACAACAATTGAAAATTACCGCAAAGGACTGAGCAAACATCGTCCAGAACAACAGGAAGGCTGGCTGAGTGTAAATTCTACAACTAGAAGGAAAGAAAAGCACGCTGAGAGCCAGAGGCGCTGCGGAGGTGAAGTGCAGAGGTACGCCGGCTCGCGCGCGCGCGCGAGGAAAGGGGGTGGCGCCTGAGGACGCGGCTGTCTTTTTGAATCACAGCTCCCGACTGCTCTGAACTCCGGTTCCGGGAAGTCTCTGGGGACCCAGGACTCATACGGGGAGAGGCTGGTCTGTCCGGCAGCGGGCGAACTTGAGGGCGGCTTTCCCTCAGAGGTGCTTGCAGCCGTTACCGGGACACTGAGACGCGCGACTCCGGGCGGAGAATCGGCCATAGCTGCTTTCTCCGCCCTTTGACTCCCTGAGACCCCGCCCCACCCAGGCTGCGGCAGAGGCTTTTGCATGTGAATGTACCTAACTGCAGCGGAACCAGGCAGACCCGGAACTTCCAAGAGAAGGCCCAAGGCCCCTCAGCGGCTTGCATTGCTTCACAGCTGAGCCTCTTTGTGGCTCCTGCTGTGTGGCCTCAGGCAGAGGCTGAATTAGCACCTCCTTAGATCCAGGAGCCACTGTACCCAGTGGTCAGAGGGGGACCATCCAGACTGCAACTCCTCAGATCCATAAGGGACACACTCAGGGAGCAGACTCAGTGAGCACCAAAGCCCCACTGAAGCAAGTCTTGCCCCAGAAGGGTGTCTTCAGCACAGAAGTTCTCCCACTTTAGACACAGCTGATTCTCACAGCCAATTGGCCTGGAGGTCAATTCCTCCCAGTGATTCTACAACAACCAAGGCACCAAGAGTGCACCAAGAGTGTCCACCTCAGGTAACTGGGGAGGCTGAGCTACTGGGCCCTACAGGACACCTGGCGCACAGGGCCACTCTATCAACACAGGGAAGCTGCCAAAATGCGGAGACAAAGAAACAGGTCACAAATGGCAGAAATGGAGGAAAGCAAACGATTGGATATAGAGTTCAAGGCCACGTTTATAAGGTTTTTCAAGAATTTTATGGAAACCGCCGATAAATTTAATGAATCCCTCAATAAGTATAGTGAGACCATGGAGGACATGAAAAAGGACCAACTAGAAATTAAGCATACACTGACTGAAATAAAGAATAATTTACAGAGATCCAGCAGCAGACAAGAGGATCCCAAGAATCAAGTCAAAGATTTGAAATACAAAGAAACAAAAAATACCCAACCGAAAAAGAAAAAAGAAAAGAGATTCCAAAAATATGAAGATAGTGTAAGGAACCTCTGGGACAACTTCAAGCGTACCAACATCAGAATTATAGGGGTACCAGAAGGAGAGAGAGGGCAAGATATTGAAAACCTTTTTGAAGAAATAATGACAGAAAACTTCCCCTACCTGGTGAAAGAAATGGACTTACAAGTCCAGGAAGCGCAGAGAACCCCAAACAAAAGGAATCCAAGGAGGACCACACCAAGACACATCATAATTAAAATGCCAAGAGCAAAAGATAAAGAGAGAATCTTAAAAGCAGCAAGAGAAAGACAGTCAGTTACCTACAAGGGAGTACCCATACGACTGTCAGCTGATTTCTCAACAGAAACCATGCAGGCCAGAAGAGACTGGCAAGAAATATTCAAAGTGATGAATAGCAAGAACCTGCAACCAAGATTACTTTATCCAGCAAAGCTATCATTCAGAATAGAAGGTCAGAGAAAGAGCTTCACGGATAAGAAAAAGCTAAAGGAGTTCATCACCACCAAACCAGCATTATATAAAATGCTGAAAGGTATTCTTTAAGAAGAAGAAGAAGAAAAAGGAACTCTTACCATTTGCCACAGCATGGATGGAACTGGAGAGCGGATAAATACCACATGATCTCACTCATTTGTGGAATATAATGAACAACATAAGCTGATGAACAAGGACTGATCCAGAGACGGAGAGGCATTGATTGGACTGTCGGGACTTGGAGGGAAGGTAGGGGAGGGTGGGGGTAAGGGGCAAAGATCAACCAAAGGACTTATATGCAAGCATATAGGCCTAATCAATGGACATGGACAACGGGGGGGTGAGGGCATGAGTGGGGTGGGGGTGGGGGGTAGAGGGTAACGTGGGGACAAGGACACATATGTAATATCTTAATCAATAAAAAATATATTTAAAAAATAAAAATAAAAAAAAAATAAAAATAAACAAATTCAGAGCCCTGGCCATGTAGCTCTCCTGTTGAGTGTGTGGTCCCGATGCACCACGGCTGTGGGTTTTCTAGGCACATGTAGGGGACAGCCAATAAATGCTTAGATGGGTAGAACAGCAGATCAATGTTTCCCTCTCTTTCTCTGTTTCCCTTCCTGTGTCTAATATCAATAAATAAAGGCTGCCCAGTATGGCTCAGTGATTGAGCATAAACCCATGACCTAGCACAGTGGTTCTCAACCTTCTGGCCCTTTATATACAGTTCCTCATTAGTGACCCAACCATAATACTATTTTCATTGCTACTTCATAACTGTAATGTTGCTACTGTTATGAATCGTAATGTAAATATCTGATATGCAGGATGATCTTAGGCGACCCTGTGAAAGGGTTGTTCGACTGCCAAAGGGGTCGCAACCCACAGGTTGAAAGCAGCTGACCATGGAGATCAAAATTCCAGCCCTTGTCAGAAGATATGTGCAGGTTGCCGGCCCAATCTCCATTGGGGGGTGTGCAGAAAGCAGCTGATCAATGACTCGCTCTCATTATTCATGTTTCTATTGCTCTCTCCTTCTTTTCCTCTCTGAAATCAATAAAATATACTTTAAAAATAAATAATTTAAGGAATAAATAAATAGCCCTGGCCCGTGTCGCTCAGTGCTGAGAGTGCCTGCTTGCACACTGGAAGGTCATGGATTTGATTCTCTGTAAGAGGCAGGTATGTGGCTTTCAGGTTCAATCCCCCTCCTAGTGGGGGCACATGCGTGAGGCAACCAATCGATCTCTCTCTCTCTCTTTCTCCCTTTCTCTCTCTCTCTTAGAAAAAACATCAATGGAAAAAATATTCTCACTATTCAGGTGAAGATAAAAGAAGAAAGAATGGAATTCAGAAATGTTACGGGAGAGGAGATCCAAGTTGGCGGTGTACGCAAGGGCTTATACTCTCTTCATCCCACAACCACATCAAAATTACAACTAAAATACAGAACAACAATCAGCCAGAACTCCTGGAAAGCTGGCTGAACGGAAGTCTTAGGACAGTGGTTCTCAACCTGGACTGCACATTAGAATCACCTGGGAATCTTTTTAAAATCCTGATTTCTGGGCCTCATTATTAGTAACAATGAAACAGCATTTCCAAAGGATGAGGCCCAGAAATCAGGATTATAAAAAGATGCCCAGATGATTCTAATGTGCAGCCAAGGTTGAGAACCACTGTCTTAGCACTAGACAGGTAAAGTAGAAAGCACACTGATACTGGTAGGAGGTAAAGAGGCATGGAAGGTGTTGGTCGTGTACCCATGTGGGACACTTTTTTAATTGG